GTTACTAGTGCCTTTACTCCTGTCCCTTATTTCCAAAGTTGAACAAAAAAATAACCTAAAAGTGTACCTTGGGTATATTTYAGTCACTACACTGACTATATGTCATATCATCTGCTTATGTACCTCTATCCTTAGTCAGACTGGGCTCTTTAGAAAGTCTTATCTTTGATTCCTCAGTATCTTTCACATAGTAGAAAAGCAGTTAATGATTGCTGAATGAATAATGAGTAGAAGGAAAAGGAAAGAAAGGAGAGAAGAGAAGCTATCCACTTTTTAAATTCATATCCCTTTTTTTTCTGAATTCCAATCAGCTCAGCACACTATTATTGGAACACTCTTATTAAATTCTTAGCATCTTTGATCCCGGTACCATATATACTCCAAATTCTTGACTTTAAGCCATCTATTATTGTGATCTCCAGTCTTTATGATGTACCCTCTCCTATCTCCTGATACACCCTGTTGCTGCTTCTCTCTGGTCTTTTGACTCCTTTTGATTTTCCTTTTAGTGCCAGAATATGCTTTTTTCCTTCATGTTTCCCTTAAATGTCCACATGAGTTCTACCTATTCCAAGAAACACTATATCCTTGAATTTGACCTATCTTACTTATTAGTTCCATGGAAAATCAGGATTCAGAAGAATTTAAATCAATTTTATTATCGTATTAAAAGAACTTCTTACAAAGAGAAATGCCTTTAATTATGTTCCTAATTCTGTCTCTGCAGTATTTTCTTTTTTGAGAATCAGATTACTGAAGTAAGTGGGTTATCTTCATCAGATTGATAAAATCAACTACAGCAAACCTAGTACACTACTTTAAGAAATAATCTTCTATAATTTCAGAGTTACAAGTCAGCAGTTGTTAGGCTTATTAAACAGACTTTTAAAACACTGGAGAAAAACTCTTTACCCTTCTTAAGCAGATATTAGCAATGTAGATTTACAAGTTATACATGATAACTAGTGTGTTTATATTGGAATATATTTTTCATGTAATCAAAACCAAAATAAATGGTTAATAGAGTGCTTTGCATTTTCAAGAACATTATGAATTTTAAGCCATTTGGTCTCACTTTTTTAAAAAATTGTGTCTATTCAAAAGCTTCTATGATCTATATATTATATTTGTGTAGTGAAGTGTATAAATATGTATATATCTATGAAGAAGAAAAAACATTATGCATCCTGCATAATGGAAGCTGCCAACCTAATTTTAATCAAAGGTGAATTAAAGATACTTGATTTATAATTTTTAATTTGACATCATCTTTTCAAAACTTTTCTGAATCTCTTTTTAACTGGGTGTTGACTTCTTTCTTCCCCCATTTAAATGTGATTTATAGGCTGTAGACCCCTGTCAGGTACATCATTTCATTTAGTCTCCACAAAAACACAGTAATGTCAGAATTATGCTCATTTGACAGTTGAGGTGTCTGAAGTTCTGATTTTGACCATGCAGCTATTAAACCACAGAGCCAGCATACAAACCTGTATCTTCTTATGCAGTTTTTTATTGTGAAAAAGTTACGAGGGGAAGTGGGGGGACACAGTCAGATTCCCTGATAAACTATTAATGATTCATAATTTATATGCTTTATTTTTCTGGAATGGTTGCTATTTCATAGAGGAGACTTCTATAGAGAGAATAGTCATTCTAATATTTTAAAATTAAATTATTCTAATTATTAATCTCTTAGATACAGGTATTTAGGGACATTTAAAAAAGTTCAAGTGGGCCTTTCCAGACACTGTGTCCTGCAAAAACAGTACATTATACAGGTTCTGTGCAAATGTTTTAGGGATTGCTATAATTGAATTCATAGGCTGATTCGGTTTTTAACCCTTCTGGTAAATAAATCGATGATTGGGGAGTTTAAGACCTTATGGGGGAAAATAAGGAGGTCACTCTAGTCAGGAATCAGGTTGGGTTTTGCTTTGTCTTCACTGTATTGCAGGCATCCAACTCGTCCAGCAGAGGGCTGCATGCCCTTGGGCAGAGATGCCAGAGAATTTCTCAACCTCTATGCTTCTCCCTGGGCTTTCCGCCTTACCTACTAGCTGCCACACAGGTCTCTCCAGGCTGTAGGCTCCTCTCCTTACTCAATGCTGGTGTGCTAAGTGTACAGGAGGTTCCTTATTGTTTCCACCCCTTCAGGCCTAGCTGGCCTTGCTGGGTGGGGCTTTCCCAGTGTTCCTGCTCAATGATCCCTATGCAGCTAAACTCTTGCATCATTGGTCTGCCTTGGGCTAATATTTCTGGTCTCTGCCTCAAGAATAGGAGACTTCTCCCTGGCCTTCTGCTGTGCCTCCATATGTCACAGGAGGCTTGCAGAAAAGTATATGTGAGCAAGTGTGACACCCCTTGAGTTTTAGTGTYTTAAATTATTCCTCGGAAGTCATTCCTAGGCTTTTACCAGTTTGTTTGGATTTTAACTGATACCAGATAGTATGATGGCAGCCTCATCTTTCTGGACCCTGCCACAGCTTGAAACAGTTTTTGTGTCTCTTCCCTTTTTGGAGGGGCTGGTTGCTCTTTGGAAATCAGGTTACTTGGTTATCTTATGACTCTATTTGTCATTTGCACAGAACCTGTATAATGTACTGTTTTTGCAGGACACAGTATCTGGAAAGGCCCACTTGAACTTTTTTATATGTCCCTAAATATCTGTATCTAGGAGATTAATAATTAGAATAATTTAATTTTAAAATATTAGAATGACTATTCTCTCTATAGAAGTCTCCTTTATGAAATAGCAACCATTCCAGAAAAATAAAGCATATTAATTACGAATCATTAGTAGTTTATCAGGGAATCTTATTGTGCCCCCCCTCCCCTCATAACTTTTTCACAATAAAAAACTGCATAAGAAGATACAGGTTTGTATGCTGGCTCTGATTGCCTCAAAAAAATTTTAGATTTTGTTATTAATCTGGCTTTTTCAACCACACCACCTCCTTTTTTCTCCTGGTACTGGTGATTGAACCCTATGGTACTCTACCACAGAACTATACCCCAGCCCATTTTATTTTTTGAGACAGATCTTGCTAAGTTGCTGAGGCTGGCCTTGAGTTTGTGATCCTTCTGCCTCAGCCTCCTAAGTCACCAGGATTACAGTGCCTAGTTTATCTGGCTTTTTCTTCTTGTTCTGATGGGAGTGATATTTTTTAAAGCTTTCCATATAGTAAGCATAAGAGTAACTCTCTCAAAGTCAGGTTTATTAAAATAAGATTTTCTCTGAACTTCCAAGTTCTTTATTATAGTACCATTGCTAGATACTTGTATTTCTTTACCTGTAATATTTGTGTATGTATTATCTTGTGTAGTAAGTTATGGTGCCTTGTCTTGATCTTCATCCTTCGAGGTGCTGCAGTCTCTTACATGTAATACAAGCGTTCAGTCATGTACCAGTAGGTAAAAGGTGTGTTAAGAAGAGGGTAGGCATAACCCACTTGAATCAAATGTATGAAATATGATATGTCAAGAGCACTGTAATGTTTTGAACAACCAATAAAAAGTAAAATATAGAGAAATGTCAAAAAAAAAAAGAAGAGGGTAGGTAAGTTCTGAGGAGATGAATGGTTAAGAAAAAAAGGTCATTGTTCTAAGCAGAGGTAGGTTAAGAGTAGACATGGCTTTTTTTTTTTTTTGAAACTTTTCTTTGGCATGTGACCATTTTGTGTGGTGTCCAAGTACGGAATTAGACACCTTGATTGAATATACAAGAAAGCAGTRGCAATATGAAGGGAGACACTGCAGGGCACTATACTTTGGGAAGTAGCTGAACCTATGAAAACATCTCTACAAAGAGTTTCAACTTGAACCAAACATAATCTTGTGAAGCAAATTATACTTTTTCTGTACATTTCATTATATTAGAGAAATACTTCTCCAAGAGAAAATCCTCATCAAGCAGATGTGGAAACTTCCAGTAACAAACAACTGAGGTGCTTAAACAGGTGTGTGGGTGATAAACATAATCTTAAAGCAATTTTTTCACCTCCAGTCCAGGACTTCCTGTGTCATCAGTTATCCTGTCTTTCTAGGTCTTTTCCTTAGGCCTGACAGTTCATTGAGTTCTGAGAACCAGAGGGTTCTTATTTCCTTTTGTCTGGATCAGTATGGTTTTAGCTGCATGAGATCATCAAGTACTACCATTTTTAGGTAGAATATATGCCATTTCCTTATGTAAAAAAATCCTCCAGTCCCCAGTTCACTAATTCATCAATAATCCATTAAGGTCCCAGGTTTTCAATTCTGTGAATATTTTAATGAAATTGACCCAGGTGCATTAATAGGATGAAAAATCATAACTAAGAGCCTTTTTTGTATATCCTTTGTATATTTCATGTGTATGAAATATTTTCTAATGTTCTAATCATTTGCCTATTTTCTCAAACCAATAAAACTCTAAAAACATTTCAAAGTAATCGTAAGTGGTATACTTGTTGCTTAATTTAAGTTTTCCATAGGTATTCCACATGGGGGATGATGGAACAAAAAGGGTCAGGTTAAATTTTGAATCTTAATAATCTTACATTCAGGAATGCCTCTATTCATATGATAGCATCTGTGTCATTACTAAGTTATGACAACTGGACAATTTATTTCCCAAACTGGTCTTTTGCTTTTTCCTTTCCCCAGCTTTGTGTGCAACTTTGGCTCAGGAGTTTCTTCCATGGAGATTTTTTTCAGCATCCTTATTTCTAGGAAAGAATTATAATTTTTTTCCCCAAGAATGCTGACCAGCTTATAGTGGTATGATTATAGTTTCACCACTGTGCTATTTAGGGTCACTGATTTCTAAGGATATGATGATCGAAAGGTCTCAAGGGGATAAGGAAAGGAAAATTTCATCCCTCCACATTAAATCACAGATGTTAGAAAATAAAGCATAAATCTTACGTATAAACATTTGAATACTCAACCTATCATTGCTTTCTTTATAATACTTCCTTTGGAATATATGCTGATTAACCCATCTGACTGTTATTATTTAGTAGAGAAGTGGTCAGAAGGAGTGACACAGGAGAAGAAATCAGAACCAGAACGAACACCTGTAGTTTCCCAAGAACCTACACGGATGGAAAAATCCACGGACACAGAGGAGGATAATATATCTGCACCACAGTTTAGCAACAAGACCACCCAGTTTCCATCAATTAATACTGAGTGCCCACAGACTGAGGGGACAAGCGAAGCAGTTCGTGGTCCTTCTTCCAAACCAGTCACCCCCAAGACTACCACTCCACCCTCATCACCATCTCCAGCAGCTGTCTCAGCAGAGTTTGCCTATGTCCCAGCTGACCCAGCTCAGTTTGCCACTCAGATGTTAGGTAATGTTTCATCTATTCATTCTGATCAATCTGAAATTTTAATGGTGGACGTGGCAACAAGTATGCCTGTTCTTAACAAGGTACTGAAGTCAGAGAWTGCTGAAGAAGTCGTGGGGACTGCTCCTCCGGAGTGTTCTGGAGAGCCAGTACAGGTAGATGAGGACTATGAGGCTGAACTACCAACGGCTTTCTCAATCCCCTTGCAGGCTGAACAACATCCTCCTGCTTATGATCAAGCTCCTAAGGTCCCTTTGCAGGCTGATGATCGGGTTACAACAGCCCTTCGTATATCATCTATATATAACAATCAGCCTGTCGCTGAAGGAATTATCTATGTTGAGCAAATACCAGAACATATAGTTATCCCTTTTACTGATCAAGTTGCTTGTCTGAAAGGAAATGGGCAATTACCATCAGTTAGTCCCAAACCTGTGCAGTTGAAGGAGGATGAAAATTTTGACTCCTCAATAAATATGGAGGCAGAAGCTACCTTTCTGCTCTCCGACAGCTATTTGGAAGGTTACCCTAAGGGACCTGCAGAATCCCTGGATGCAGAGGGCTTTATCAAAATAGGCACTGAACAATCTCTGCATGTTGAAGTGGAGATCACTTCCAGAGACTTTGGGCAGCAGACGTCACTGGAGAACTTGCCCTCGGGGTACACTGCAGAAGTGTAAGGAATCTAGTGGCCCCTTCCCTCGTATTCCAGAAGGTCTTACTCAGCCAGAAACCRAACTCGAGGGGGAAGCAGTACCTGAACAGGTTTGATGAGGCCAGGTAAGAAAATCAGATGCTTACATATTTACACATTGCGTTTCAGGTGACATCTGTATCACAAGAAACCATCTAGGTAGGCTCCCTGCAGATTGGTCACAGGCTTTATTTTCGGTAGGGTTTTAAATGCCAAACCTACCTAAAGGCTTTGCTGTGTTTGAGATTTTACTTTTATGAGATGAGTGATTTTTAATGCAACATCCTTAAAGTTTGGTCATCCAGTAATTTTGTGTCCTTTTGGAAACATGTTGTGAACATCAGAACCTGTTAGATACAAAAATATATTTAYGCCACCTGAATAATATTATTGCAAAACTGCAATTTGGGGTGTTGGTTTGAAATTTCTCACTTGTGAATGTAAAATCAAACTGCAGCATTGCATTTACATGGGTTGTGGCATTTAAAACATGCAAGAAATGGTGGTGTGTTTGATTCTGCTTTCGCACCGAGAGCTCTGCAACAGGTCTGGGTGCTGGGTCTGGAGCTTCCTGCAGCTGAGGGAGCAGCTTCATAGCTGGATGGGGACAGGAAAGGTTAGGTCGAACTTCTGTCACACATGAGAGCAGGAAGGTAGCAACAGCGGGAAGGATGGCCAGGCACTGCAGCAGTAGTAGACTCAGTTCCCGTGATTGGTTTCCTTCAACCAGTTCACCCAGACCAGTGCCAAATTGAAGCTTTCATAGCTCCTGAACTGCCACCTATGTTTTCTTGTGACAGACGTGATATGACCTCCATCTCAATAATGGCATTTATTCTGCCACCTTTCTGCCCCATCTGGAAACTTTTAGAGGCTCTTCTCTCTGGAGCAATGGAAGGATGCACATGAGCCAGTCTCCCCATTCCTTTTGCAGAAACTCTCAGCTCTTGACTGACTTGAGTCAGAATAATAAGGGTTACCAAAGCAGGTGTTTAGCAAAGGTCAATTCTGTCTGGCTGTGTGACAGGGATTCAGAACAGCTGAAAAGGCAGAGGGCAAGACTGGAAGTGTAGCCTGTGGTGCTGGCATTATTCTTGTGACTTAAGCACAGCTTCAAACCTTGTCACTGTTTTCTAAAGTAAAACAGTTGTCCTGAGCGCTAAAAAAACAGATTGAGTTCTCCAATTCTCTCTCACTTAAAAAAACTGAAAACTTGGCTTGTTACATATATTTTAATAAGCTTGAAGATCAGTTTAAAGTATCTGATGCTGTCAAAAACCATCAGCTTAATCATGTGCATTGTGGTCTTTTCTGGGGCAAGTAAAGAAGGCTGCAYCAGGAACAGATGGCCCAGAGTTCAAAAGGTAAACTTGGCACATCTGGAAAAGTGAAACTCTCCTCTACAAGGAACTTGTTTCCCCAAGGTCCCATCTTCTGGGATTCAGCTTTCCAAAACAGCACTGTCGTCTTCATTAGKCAAGTCACACTTGGCATTACAGATTGTTACGAGTCAATAAATGGCATTCCTAGACCTGTTCTTAAAGAACCCCTATTGGACCAACCAGTCCTTCATTGCCACCTAGGGTCTCTGGTACAGCCTTGCCTAAAAAAGAGCTCTCTGAGGTTCTGAGTCTTAGATTATATGATGATTTATGTGTGGCAGGAGATAATGGATTAAGTGATCAAAATGAAATATTGTGACTTATTCAGGAAAGAAAAAAAATCACTATGCAGATGCATTAACACTCTTCCCCACCCAAAGGCTGTTGAGTCAGTTTTACTGACTCTTTGCTCTGAGGACTCAATAAAAGCTAYGTCTATAGTTTCAGAATCTGGAAACAGCAACTTAGAATGAAACTGCTGCTTTAGCCACAACTCTAGTGTCCCTGCCACTTGSTATCACAACACTGTCGTCCTTCTTTTCCAACTGTACTGAAAGGCTCTTTTCTTTCACATTACCAGACACTATAGCCCTCTCTATAGCACGCTTTATGGCACATATTAATTAGCTATTTGTTTATATTTTTAAAAAAGATTTATAAAGACATTACTGTGCATAGCGCCTGATACAGAGACCAAAAGTTTAATGCCTGCAAATTTTTTTTTTTATAGCACTAGCAACAAGCGAAGCAGGACAACCACCACCATATTCTAACATGTGGACCCTTTACTGTCTAACTGATATGAATCAACAAAGTCGCCCATCACCGCCACCAGCACCTGGGCCTTTCCCCCAAGCAACCCTCTATTTATCTAATCCTAAGGATCCACAGTTTCTGCAGAATCCACCGCAAGTTACTTCTCCAACTTATGTGATGATGGAGGACACGAAGACGACCAGTGCCCCACCTTTTATTTTAGTAGGCTCAAATGTTCAGGAAGCACAGGATTGGAAACCTCTTCCTGGACATGCTGTTGTCTCACAGTCAGATGGCATGAAGAGATATGCTGCAGTACAAGTACCCATTGCTATTCCTGCAGATCAGAAATTCCAGAAACATACCCTAAATCCCCCAAATGCTAGTCCTCCTTCAAGTGGAAAAGATGTCCCCAGACCACAAAGCCCAGTTTTTCTTTCTGTTGCTTTCCCAGTAGAAGATGTAGCTAAAAAAGGTACAGGATCTGGTGACAAACGTTCTCCCTTTGGAAGTTATGGTATTGCTGGAGAGATTACTGTGACTACTGCCCATGTTCGCAGAGCAGAAACTAAAAACTGGTAGGTAAATTTCCCTACCATAATATGTGGGCCTTAACACTAGAGTTTCCAGCATTCTGTTGACCTAGAGATTGAGATTCTTAAACTGAATTGATATATGAGTTGGGCTGGGCATGGTGGTCCAGACCTTGTAATCCTGACTACTCAGGAAACTGAGGTAGGAGGATCACAAGTTTGAGGCCACTCTGGGATTAATTCCCTAGTACAGGAAAAAAAAAAATGTACCACCATGTGGTTGTCTCCAGCTGCCTCAACCACTGCTTATTAGTAATAATAATATTGGGCATTTACTAATAAAGGACAAGATAAACCTAGTTGGTATGTTTTAGAGACAAGATGAGTTGACAGAAGTGCTGATCAAGTGGAGACACTGAACAGCTAAGAGACAACAAGACAGGTCTTCACATTAATCTCAGGTTAAATGACACTGTCTTATTCTTTTCATTTAACCTGAACTTAATGTGAAGACCTATGTAACCCCTCCTCCCTGATGTGTGGGAAAAACCTAGAACCTACACCTTAAGGAGACAGAAATGTTGGATCCCCTATGTCAGTGTGACTGTTTTTTACCATGAAATGCTAAGAGATGGAAAAGCACAGGTATTGGTTAGTTAAGAGCTTAGTAACACAGCAGGAGAGCAGACCTTACAATTAAATGTTTACGTTATCCCTGACAGATGCYGAAAATGACGCTGTTTTGAGTCAACGTTCAAGGTGGAGTCTGCCACCAAGCGTTATATCAATAAACTTCCTGCAAGCATTAAACYTTGTATTCTCATTTTATAACTTAGAAGGATCACATTTCAAAAACAACAGCTGCCCCCATACCACTGTGCATGCTAGGTGGTGGGTTAACTGTTTGGCATATTTGTTTTAAAAGGAATCACACTTTTGGAACATTCTAAAGTCTTTTATTAGCATCAGATTATTTCATTATAACACTTGTTAACTTTAAAATAATTTACTGGCAGCTACCTAAGGCCCCTTGGATCAGTATCTCAGTCTGGGGTTTGGATAAATACTATAAGATTAATGTACCCCAATTAAAGGGGCAAAACTACTGTACAGTAGGTCTCCATACATATTTTAAGTACACAGGTACCTTGCAAATTTGAAATGCACAAGACCTCCTTTTATATAGTTTGTTACTTATAATACATGAGTGCAGCTTAAATTCTCTGGTGGCACTGGCCACTGGAAGTTGCACTTAAAAAGGTTTTGTCATTATGTAATGGTGATTAAAATCTATGTCTAGGGATTTTTGTGACTTGCTAGATTTTTATTTTATACATATTTTCAGTTCAAACATACAATTTAAACATTTTTATCTCTAATGACMATGATTACAGAAAAGAAATCAGAGCACTAAAATAAGTAAATGAAGTACCTTTTCCAGTTAAGAATTTTCAAATCAGGAATACCTATTCTGAATATTCAGGCAATGTTTTTTTCTTTTTGGAGATGGGAAGGGATAAAGTTGAAAGGATTAATATGAATAAAAGCCATCTTATCAATTTTTATAAAATGACAACCTCTACATTTGAGCACATAAACATTGTATAGGAGAATTCTAAACATTTCAAAGTTATGTCTAAAACATTCAAGCATGACAGCATAAAAATATTCAAAATAACTTGATTTGGGATTATGATATATTCCATAAAGCTAAAGTTACATTTACATATAAACCTTCAGTAAATATGGCAATAGCAACCAGAAAAAGCATCTTCTCCAGCAGTTTTTCTTACCTCTTTATAAAATAGTATTCCAAATAAGTATGTTTGGATAGCAAAATTACTATGCATTTTTCCTAAGACTCACCACCATTATCACTGTATGCCCTATTTTTCTTGGGTAAAATACAAGTTATGAGGTTTTTTTTTTTTTTTAAGATGAGTAGAAACCAAGGGAAAAAATTTAAAAACATAGGTTTAAGACTTATTTATAGATTAGCCAAACACCCTGACTTGTCTACATTTTAATAAATGTCAGGCAAATTGAAGTAGTTTCTGTCCCAGTAGCTGCCAGAGTAAATCCAATCCTGTGCTCCATTGTAGGGATTAGGACCTTGATGGAACCACCTGTTTAAAGAGAAAGGACAAAATTTATAGGGGAAATAGTCTGACATCGAAGGGTATCTGTGGCTTCATTAGCTTGCAGTACTATTTCCCTATTGTAGAATTTCTTGCACTGTGAGAGGGCTTTACACAGAGATGGCTGAAGATGTGATGCTATTTTGCTCCTAGGGGAACACATGCAGAATATTTCAAAAGAGGTAATGAGATCTTGCAAAAGAGTTACAATCCACAACAATCAGTAATGCAGTTCTACTACACTGAAGTAGGATCTAATAGGGTTGTTAGA